CCCCAAAAAAAAAAACCTAAAGGTGAGTGGGGGTGTAGGGTGCTCTCAAAACATCTATCCAGATGGCCTAAAGGCTAGAAATATCTTCCAGCAACCAGATACATCAGCATTAAGGTCTGACTGTCCAAGCATTTGTAACTGCATGTTGCTCATTTCTGAGACACCACTGCAGTAAGTAATCCAGGCTACACCACCCCTCTCCAGCCTCAGGGATCTGGAAGAGACATGGTTCGATCTCCATGTATTAAGAGATTCAAATACAGTAGAAATTTAAACTAATAACTGCTATGCTTTGGGCCCAAAATTACCCTGGTGCTCTTCTCAGAATCCATTGTTCCCCACTCCAAGTTACACCACACCTGGACAGAGTACTGGCTCTTTGCCATTCCTTGCTGTATACAGCAAGAGGTCAGAGGCTAGTCCTTAGCCCTTCTGCTTGAAGCTTCTGTGGTTAATTCTAGCACAGCTCTCCCATTCTTCTGACATTTTTTGAAGACTATTCTTCAGATGTGATTAATTTCTGTACAACAGTGGCAATTAGTTACATTAAAATGCATGAAAACATCGCATTAGAACAGCCTCACTGAACAACCCTGAATATTCTTTAAGATTGAGCATTTGGTGTAATCCAGAATCCAAACCTCCAAGTTGTGTCCTCTTCATACTATCAGGAACTTTATTCTCTGCCTGCCACTGAGATAGCCTACTAGAAGACAAGATACTCATAGCACATCATGAACTTCCTCCCTAATTTCAGTGATCTTTTGAAATCACCTGGATAGTTGCTGAACTACTTCATGCATACAGTGATTTTGTATTGCTTGTACAACAGATTACATCCAAAATTACGCCAAAAGGCCTAAAGTCAATTTTGTGAGATATAATTTCTTCAAGTTGATCAGACTTCTATGTCTGTTTAACTCCAGCAATTTGCATTAAAATCATAATGTTGAGATGCATGAGTTACACTGTCATACCTTCATATACTGGCCAGCAGCAGACACACGAACAGTCCCACTGATTCTGTCTTGCTCCAGCACCAAGCCTGATAACCTACCACTACACGGACACAGTTATTTTTTCTGATCACTCAGTATTTTCCCAGTGTTCATGAAACATCGACAACTTAGACCAGGTACACTACCCAGTCTAATGGTATTAAGAACACACTATTTGTTCTCAAGAATCAGAAAGCATCTAGACAGCACTGCTTCTCAGCATCTTCCTAGTTGTTATTGTAATAAGAAGGATTTCTAGAGAATTGTGAACTGCAAATGTGTTATTTTGCTTTTTACTCCACTAATACCCAGGGGCCTGGAAGACACAAAGGTGTCTTCAGAACTAGGTGGAAATACATAACTAAATTGTTACCTTTTATCATCTAGATCTGTGGCTGGCTGAAGACCTGTAGCATCATTAGTTGTTTTCATCTCTTCAATTGGTTCTCAACTGCTTACACCTAACCCTTCTGGGTTACAAGTTTTCCATGTTTACATTTAACTTTCCAGTCACATTACAAGCAGATACATCAATACTGCAGTGCACAGAGGTACTCTGCAATCTTCACACCAGGCATTTATCCCAATACTTATTGCTTACCTTTAATCACATTACATGCCTCGTTTCTGTCATGAGTTCCTAATCATGTAGTTTGATCATATAAAGCAATCAAAGAGACTTAAATTAAATGGCAAAGCCATTCTGAATTATACTACATGGACCAAAGACACACCGTAATGGTTAAAAAATGATGAGAACAGGCCATGCTTCAGATAACCAAAACCAGGTATTGTGTCTGTTCCTCACATCCCAGCCCCTGAACCTTGCTGCCTGGGGACTCCAATGCCCAGACAATATATTGCTTCAATGAAGACAGTGCATTGTCAGCAGCACGAGTGTCAGCACGGCAACATCATGCTCTGCCGATGGATCACTCAAAGGCTTCATCCTCCAACTGCACTCAGACATGAAGCTCAGATGTTTGTAGCATATCTAGATTTTCCTAGCAGGCACCAATAAAATGCTTTTGTTGCCTTCTATCCGAAACCTAGATGGGGCACTGCTATTCCACAACCCAGCCTCATGCTGGCTGGGGCACTGACCAGCAACAGCAGCCTGACTTGCTCAGCATGTAAGGAACTGATTTGTGTTTTGGGATAGATTACATGATACCCATTACATAACTGTTAAAACTAAGTTTCACAAGCAAGACAGATCCAGTTTCCTTCCTATTCTGTACATACTACACTGAGCAGTTAAAAACCTAGATCTGAATCAAAGATGGGCATAAATATGAAGAATGACTATTAGAATGAGTATCTATGGTGTATCTAATCAATTTGACAAGATGAAAGAAAGAGGTTGAGCAATTTTGAAAGTATATTCACGGTGCGATGAATGCTTAGTGAAATTCTAGCCTGCAGCAGACAGATTCCACAAGATGCATCAGGGATGCAACTGTCCCCAACACCAACATGTCATGTGCTGCACTAAGCTCAGACCACCAGTTATAGAAACAATAATGATGAGAAAGAGTTCTGAAAAAGTGCAAGCAATTGACAGGCTGAAAAACACAGTTTAGAAGAGCATCATTCCATATAGGTTGGGTAAAAGTGAGATCAAACAATTCAAGAGTATCGGTGAGCGTCTGACAGAAACAGGAAAAAGTTAGTATCATGAGTAAAGGGAACATAACTGAAGTAACAAGAAGAAATAGAGGAAGAAGTTTAGACTGAGTATTAGAAAAAAAGTCTTCCTCTAACAAGAAGTAAGGTTGCAAGCTCTCCCACTGTCCAGAGAAGCAGCAACATACTGCTATTTACATGACAAATGAACAGCGAGAATGCACAATAGGACATGGTTTGTAAGCAAATGATTTGAACAATTCAATTTAAGTCTGAATTCTACCACTGTATAAGCAAATTTAATCTGGAACACATTATGTAGATGGCTTAACACCGTTTCAAGACAACAGGGCACTGCCTGTTTGTCTGGGAAAGAAAAGCAGCATGTCAGAGTAGCTCTGACGAAGATCGTGCTTTACGGGGGCTTTCCATCCTGTTGCGAGCACACAATCTGACCTCCACAGAGACTCCGCTTTGGAAAAATTCAGTCAAACAGAAAAATCTTTTTTCTCCAATCCAAGATGCATAAAATGTAAAAGCAGCTTCCTAAAGAAGGTGGCTGCACATCTTCATTACCTTCTTTGAAGTATGAACCATACTATGCATTAATACTAGTCCCACAGTTCCAGGATTACTGTCATTTTCCCCGATGCCCTGCTCACTTCCCACAGGCTGTCAACCTTGGGAGTCTACTTCACTGATACTTCAATTACCTTTTAATGGAGACATCCAGATCCTTCAGGCAGTCCACTATCGTGCTTCTATGCCGCTGTACTGCATTATGGTCTGTCTGCACAGTTTTCAACAACGACGTCAAAGCTACGTATCTGCAATAAGGACATATGGTAATAAACAGTTGACAGTAGGCATTTAATTGCTGTGCAGAGACACTCACACCCCCACCCCCTACGCCCAAAATAGTCCTATTTTACAACAGAACAAGGTTTTCTTGTACTCAGTAATGAACAGAAATCTTCCAGAGGACTGCCTGGCCTGACTTCAGCAGTGAGTTACCTACTAGACTGTAACATGCCTGGACAAGCACTTGTCCCAATTTCTGGCTCATGTCCGTTGTCCAGTCTTCACAAAGATTTTTGAAAAGACAAGGCAATTAAAGATTAGCCCTCCACAGATCATACTCGAACCAGCACAAGTTGCAATTCCCAAGGCTAGAGTCTTCTACCTCAACCATGTTTTGCAAACAGAATACTTAGAGATGGGACTTAATTCTAGCAGCTGCAGTAATCCTGTGTCCAGATCTGTAGTGATCAAAGCACAACAAAACTTCCTTGTTGCCAACAACACACAGTCTGTGTTGTTGCCAAATGTCAAATCTGATTTGAGTATCACCACAGACCAGCTGGGGTAAGACAGGAGATTCACAGGTTATTGGAAAAAACTCTTAACATGTGATTTCTTAATCTAGTCAAGAATTAGATCATACACCTAGACTCATCAACTAAAGAAGGGCAGGGCCAAGAGAAGATTTTCACAGAGAAAAGAACGCACCAAGAATGAAGCAAGCTAGACAGTCAGACTGACCCCAACAACAGTACTTCCCAGTTCGGTCTCCTGGAAAGCTCTACTTCAGTATAATCTTTGTGTAATTGCTTCTCACACATTTTAAACCGGGTGTTGCCAAAACACACTTCATACAACTTACCTAATATTTTTGTCGTTGTTTAATAAGAAACGGCCTAGGATATTAATGGCTAACACCTGCAGAAAGAGTTAGGGAAAGTCAGTGATCACAGAAAAGCCACTGGTCATCTTCACTGTTTCCAGATGATTTTAAAGGCAACATGTCAAAGCTACCATTGCAGTTCTTGGCTAAAAGCATAACAAAGAACTCTAGAAGCTGCCTAAACAGAGGATAAGCTCAGATAAGCACAGCACAGACTCTCTCTGCACTCCAGGGAACACAGTCTACAGGAAGTTTTGCTTTTTTATTTTTGTTATTAAAAAAACCCCAGCAAACCAAACACCACTTTCTGAAGAAGCTAGTCTTATCTAGAGCGAACTGCAGAGGTATGTTTGAGCAAAACAACCTTGCTTCATGTCCTCTACACAAATTACTCTAATACAAGTCTAGAAACAAACAAAAGGCCATAGCAAAGGCAACTTACTCTCAGTCCGCTCTCAGATTTTATGTCCATAATAGTCAGCACAGTTTCATAGAGAATGGCATTTCCCACGTTTTTACTTGTTTCTGTATTAGTGGCAACCTGGAGAAAAGAAACAAAATAAGCAACTCCAGCTCGTCCGAAACAGGTCCCCTTTGTGCTGAACAGGCAGTGAAACCAACCAATCCTGAGAAAACAAGCACCACACCTGTCAACACATGTCTGGCAGCAAAATTCAACCCAGCACAGCAAGCAGCTGTACCCTCACCAGCACTGCTGAACTCAAATGATTAAGAAATCAAAAGAGAAAGTTTAAGCTGCTCATCAACCTTGCAGACCTTACCTGTGCAAGTATATCATTCATTGCTTCACTAGAATCATCATCATTTCGTCCTAAAATTCTTAGTAGCCGCAGGATTCGTACCTATTTGACAAAACAGAGCAAAGCTCAGCAGATAGCAGTGTTTTACACGGGGGCCATGAAACGCCCAGTACACGTCCTGAGGAGTGGCAAAGAAGCAAAACAAGCTGCTCATTTCCATTCCTAAGCAAAATGCTTATCCTTAGTAAGACCCTAACCAACAAGAACAGGCTTATGACCTGCTCATTATCTTCCCATTAGGCAGAACTGTTTCCGCACTAGCCACCAGGTACAGCCTTGCAAGACCAACATGTTGCTGCTTCTCCCTTCTGTCACAACTTCCCACAGGATAAGGCACTACGACTGCTCTTCAAGACAAGTGTCCTTCTCTAAGGTAGGTGAAGAGCATTTGCACAATCAGCTCTAACAGACACAAAATCTTAAAATCAACAGAGCTGCCCTGAGGTAACCACTTCATCACACCTAAGTCTCAAAATAGTACCAGAATTAGGTATCAATCACTGTTTGCATCAGTTCTTACCTGCAAAAAGGGGTCACTGATCCCAGACACATCATGCTCTGGTGAATATCCAGACATGATAAGGTTCTTCAGAATACGAACTAATTGGGGAACAAGCTGTGAAGAAGAGAGTTGTCTTATTAGGGTGCTGTTCCTCCCCCAACCCCAGTTTTGAAGTACAGGTCCAAGAACAAATCTGGTATTTGAAAGCAAGCAGTCTATGGATTCTTCTGCAGGGCTCAACCTGCACACCTAGGCCTGATGCTGTACGAATACCTACAGCTTAGCTAGGACACAACTAGAAAGAGTTAAGCTGGAACCTGAGAACCATATTGTATCTTTGAAGTACTAAATATACCAGAGCTTGGTGGTTGAGACCTGAGAGGAAACACCAACTTAAACTCCTCTCTTCATGGAAAGGGAACATGCTGGGACTATCAAAATGGTGTAATTCCAGGATTTCACCTGGGGGCATCACAGTAGCTCCTGACTCACTTTTAGCATACATCTTCATGGAAGCACCAGCATAGCCAAGATTTCTGATCTTTTCAAGAACTGTAACTGCTATGATTAGAGTAAATTATTAAGAACTCCTTCAAGTTTGACACTCTGTCCAACTTAGCTTCTAGAAAGGCTTTGTGATCTGCTTCCTCTGCAAGAGTTTCCAAACAGGGCAGAGAATGGATTTCCCTTCAACCTTCCCCCAGGGATCTATTGTTAGACTACTACTTCCCTGCAAGCAGCTCCAGGGTCTGTTCTCCTCCTCTTAACCTCAGACTTTCCCACAAGAGCAGCAACACTAAACTGACCAAATTCTTTGTTTTAGTGCTGTTAGAAGGGTTCTGCATAATGTCAGGAATGCTGATGGAAGCACCGCCACTATGCCAGATATGGGAGCACAAAATCATATCAACTTACACTGTTCATATTTTAAAGTTTCTTTCCAACTGTATGTGTTAAAAAACTTTCAGAAACAGTTCAGATTTCTCAGATGTTGATGGCACTGGTCTCCCAGTAGACATCTACTCACAGGAATAAGTTACCTTTCAAGACTTGTACACAGCTTTGAAGAAATGCTACCTATCTGCAAAAGTCTGGTTCAACTCCCTCCATCTTAGGCTCTAGCGATGGGCTCCATCAGGGCAACTCTGAAGAACCATAATAGAATTTTTCTGTACTATCTCACACATGCCAAGCAAGTAAATGGTTTAAGGTAAAACGTGGCAAATAAGCCAATCAGTAAAGCAAACAAGCTTTAACAAAATTCATAGCAGCTATGAGTAACAAAACAGTCTAACAGTCTCGGGGATGAAATGGAAGCTTGCTCCCAACACATTCTATGAAAAACCTTAAGGTTGAAAAAGAAACTGGACTCTTTATCAGTAAACTGTAAGATAAAAACCACTCCTGGTAGATGACAGATGTGGACCTCTACAAGCTTTATTCCTTCCATAGGAAGTTTCTTCTATCCCTCTCAGTGCTGGTATTATTAAAATAATCCAGACACTGGCTGGAGATGTGACAAACTACAGAGGTGTTATGGTGGCTACACTAAGTGGATTCTTCATTCCTGAAGCATGGCTAGCACCAGGAAAGCAGGATTCCTTATCTCAACTCCATGCATGACAATTAGTTTATCAAAAACTTCTCTACAAAACCCTTCCCAACGAATCCACCTTTAACAAATTTTCCTGTCCTTGAGACAGGCTGACCCTGCGTTCACGTATGCCTACTAGGAGCCAGGGATTGCATTCACATTAAACTTTTACCAGATCAGAGATTGCTTATTGCAAGGTTGCCACTTCTGATAATATCAAACCAAGATGGTGCTTCAGATTCAGGACAGATAGTAGCAGAAGCTGCCAAAAGCACAGTGTGACTTACAGAGCACAACAGCTGCCTGTGGGCAAACTAAAAGTTCCCTGGACTGAAGTCCTATACGTTTGTGATACAGTGCAAGAAGAAAACCAGCCCAACATCTTTATTTTTATTCCTACCTTGGCTCTTCAGGAATTACATACTCCTCTGAAAACACGCATTTCATAAAACACACAAACAAAAGGAACCATGAATTTCCTACAATCTGTCTTAAAGAGGAAACCAAAGGGTGCTGCAACATCTTCCCTCAAGACAGAGTAACAGATAAGATAATGGAGCATTCCTGGAACCCTGATTAGCATTTTATTTACCTTCTAACATGCAAGAGTTATCACAACTGAGGACAGAACAAACAAAGGAAAACATTACAGCCATGGAGATCGGTTGAGGGCCACCCCCCACTTCTGTAGTCAAATTACACCCATGAAAAATATCACCAATGCAGCTGTACTCAGTAGCTATGTGCAGCACAGTAAGACCACTTACAGGTGGCTAAGGAACTGTCCCTCCTGCTCCCTTTTGGGCATCGCCCGAGGTTGCCCCATGATTCAGACAAAACACAAAGCCCTGTTTGCGATAAGAAGAAAGGCTGGGGCTACAGTTTGCACAAAAAAAATTCCCTGAAGTACTTCTCAAATGAGTGAGAGCTTGAGGAAAGCAGGCTCATGTTTGAAAAAGGCCACAACTGAGATTCAGGGCTGCCATGGGTATAAAGGTTTAGTGACAAGACCAGACCAGCACACAAAAAGCATTAGACAAGTACAGTTGATCTAAGCGTGTGGCATCAATCACAAATGTGGCATTAAGAGGCACGGCCTCACAAGAGACAAACATCTACAGATTCAATGCAAGCATGCACCATCTAGAAGAGTTAACTCTTACCTTTTCATTCTAACACACAGCAGGATTCCAAACAGACAAAAGGGACAAAACAGATGAAGCAGGCATTAAGGACAGATCAATGTTATACCATCCACAGCATAAACAACTATAAGATAGCTAGAAAAGAATGTACCTAGTACCTAAGTTCTGAGGACTCCACTCTTCTCTCTTTTCCCAGGACAATCATCTTAATTGAGCAATTAGTAGCAGGGATGGCTACCTTCAAGATGACCCTAGTCCCACTTTCATTTCTACTTTGACACATACAATCAGGGAAAGGGAAGACGCATGCCAAAACACTAAGACGCACCAAAGGATGTCCTGTCTCACTGCCATATGGAAGGTTACCAACAGAAGGGCATCTGAGAACTGCACCGGCTGGCATCGTGACTTCTTGGTCAAAGACAAGAAACCGAATGAAACTGGTAGAACAGAACTGGCTGTTTGCTCCACTGAAAAGTGTTCCAGGTGCTTAGTTATCTGCATGCCCAGTTCACTGCTCTTCCTTGGCCTGTCTGTATCATTAGGGGTTTCATACTGCACACCAAATTATGGCAAAAAGCATAAGGAATTTTGTGGTGGGGACGGGAGGAGAAGCAAACATTCCTAACCAGAGGAGGAAGAGTGACCTTGACACTCAAACCCTTAAACTAAAATGGAAAATGATGTAATACAGCATTTATCAGAGATGAAGTATCTACAGAACTAGAACTTTCACGGGTTATTTTTGACCTGAGTGTATAAAATTGTGTGGCTGTGGTTAAGGCATTCAGCTGTTGGTCTAAGCCTCCGTTTCACCTTTGCCTCTGACACATTTGCGATTCCAATGTCACTATACAATTAGCTATGAAGAGTGGAAAAAATCCTAAGGGAACATCAAAGAGAACACTAACTTCAGGATGAGTTTCATACTGCACAGTCTTAAGACTGTTTTGTAACTTACCCACTTATTGAAGGGGATTAGGGCTAGATACATGCAAAATTCCCAAATTTAATGTTTGGGGTTTTTTTTAATTTGATAACAAGCAGACAGTTCCATTAAATTCTTCACCCAAATAGTTGTAAGAATTTTTCTGAAAGACGGGCACACAGCTTTCACTAGGGAAACTAAGAGGACACATCTGTAAAAAAAAATCCACCACACCCAAAAGCCCTCAACCCATCACAAACCCATGAATATTAACTCTGCAATATTATCACTTCACACTTACCTTTCTGAAGTGTGCAAGCATGTCTGGGCTTCTCTCACACATCTCTGTGAGGAGGACAACTGATGTGTGAAGAACACCTAAAGGTGAGGAGGAGTGGAAGAAAAAAGGAATCTACATTTAACATATTTTTATTGGCTCCAGACATGTGAGAAAGATCCTAAGGAAACAGCAGTAAATCATGAAAAAAAGTATTCCTTCTTGAATCCAGTATATCTACCCAAAAATGTATTTGTGCTTGCAGCTGTGCCCATGGGAAAACAGACAGAAGTGTGCTTGTGTCTTAAAGCTGCAACTAAAGGCCAAAGGAAAAGAGAAACTGGACTCTGTCAGCTGAAACCTGCATACTAAATATATAGTCAGCTGTGAGATCATTGAAGTGAGAATCTGTTTTAGGATGTAGTTCTGATGAAAAACAGCACTGAAGAAACTCTTTCCTGACAACAATGTAGGTATCTCAGTCCTGGGAATGCCTGATAAAATGATTTCAGAGAATCCTATAGTGCTATGCTACCAGAAGACAAAATAAAACCCTAAAAATTGCACTTAAGCAGTGTATTGGATAAAAATCACAAACTTTCCCATTCCACCCACTTTGAATTGTATCAAAAAAGTAAAAGAGTTCCTTTTGTCACCTATGCCATGTACAACTCCTGCTGACTAGCAGAGTCATACACATCCCTTTCTTCTGAATGACATTTGCTTTCACTGCATAGAAACGGGAAAAAACAAATTGTACAAATACACCTCAAAAGTTCTTTCCAAACAAAAGGCTTAGGTAGCAAGTGCACCATCCTGTAAGGAATGTCATAGCCTTGCTAAGTACAGTCTCGGGTATTACCGTGGTTCTTCTCATTCAGCAAGTTTTTGGTGGCTGGCAGGAACATCTCCATGAGTTCAGGCACCTTTCTAATGACGTGAACAGCACACAATGCTGCCTGCACAGGAAAACAGCTCCATTAGTACATGCTGTAATGACAGCCACACACGTTGTGAGAACACCCAGCACAGTGGGACCTAGCACAAACTTCATGATACACAAAGGCCTGGAAAGTCTACAGCACATTTTTCCATCTCTCCACTGCAAGTGATACTAAACAGCATCACAGAGAAGAGTTCAATAAAACTACCACAGGGGGGGAAGCACTGAGCTAACAAAGTAATACTCCCACTAGCACTGGTTCATTTTGACATTATTCACTTCAGAAGCGATATTAACTGCAAAGCAGCTCAGCCTTTAATAGGGCTACTTCAGTCTCTCTTCCTGTTGCTAGGGAGGGGATAATGCATTGGAAGCAAATAAATAAATTTATGTCAAATTATGGCTCATTTTCTTTCCCTTGAGTATCATCTCCTTCCCCACAAAATAACTTCCTCCTGCAGGTGACAAGTCCTATGAGAAACAAAAGTATACTGAAAAAAAACCCTGCCTATATCTAGGGTGCAGAAGCAACAGGAGACACTTAGAGAGCCAAGTGCACTGGAGAGCCTCTTCCCAGAATACAGCAGTACCTCTTAGCACTTCTTTCTCTCCAATCTCTCTCTAGATCCAGCACTAGAGAAAGAAGTAACAGTGCATCTCTTCCTAAATCTTACCTCTTCCCACCCTTTCCAAGAGTTACCAATGGAATAAATTTAAAAGAACAAGGGTGATTACACTTTACAGATGCTACAGCACACTTGCTATAGAATGAGATAATTTATAATTGTCTGTTTCAAGGCCTTAACCTTTCTATCTCACACACTACTGTCAATTATCAACAGAAGGGATCAAATGGGTTCAAATCTTCAGGTATCTGAAGTTATCTGAGGAGATACAGAAATAAACTGATGACTAGAGTTTGGGGTTAATGTCTCTGAACAGGCCAGCATTAACATTACCATCAGCAACCTTAAGGTAGAGAGTATGAAAACAGAGGCAACTGCCTCACCTGCTGGAGACTTGACTTTTAGAGGCTTACACACACTCCTGATACAGACAGGCAGGCAGTTCTGACCAGTCTTGCACACCGGGATAACATTCAGCCCATGTGACCCAAGCCATCTAGTATCCAAGAATTAGCAGGTATTGGACCAATCTTAAATTTTAATCCATTACAAAAGTATTCAAAAGTTCCCTGAAGTACCTTCTTCCTAAGATAGGAGTTAGAAGTTTTGAGGAGCTTTTCCACCTCTCCTGCAAGGTCTCTGCACATTTCTGAGGAGCCCATGCAGCCGAGAGTGCAGAGTGCCAGCCCCTGCACATATTGCGTGCTGTGATTAAGGTCACTGTAAAGGAGAACAAAAAAGGGCCGATCAGCATGAACACAGGGAACCCGAACATACAAGAAAAAAAGCATCTATATCTACAGTCATCTAACCAGCTGCACACATGACCCAGAACTCTCCAGATTCTCAGCTGTTCTGAAGGAGCATGACTTTGGAGCAATAGCAGCTCTGAGTGTATGTACCACAGGGTTTGCTACTACTTCTACTTAGAATCCTCAATTATAAAGGTAAAAAACTTGGTTAAAACTATCAAGTATCTAAGGATTGAGCCGAGAAGACCACACAGAATCCCATTAGAACTTCTAAGTAAAGACAAAACGTTGTATTTTGGAACTTGCATGCAGGAAGGAACCTCAAATGAAGTGACTCTGTGGGTCCCAGTTTAAACATATTCTTGGACAGGCTTTAGCTTCTGCATTTACAAACCAAACGGTATACAAAAACCTATGTTAAAATATCCTCTGATTGAAAACCACAAACACCACCACTTGCACACTTTGAAAATAATCCACAGAGGCATTTTGTTTAGCAATCCCAACTATTCATGTGCCTAAGGAAGTTGCAAAAAGGCGTCAATAAGAAGTTAAACCACCTGACAGCAGCTGCTATTCACGAGGCCAGCCACCAACCCCACACTAAGAACAAGACAACACAGCTCCACATGGTGACCACAGCAGTCTCTAAAAGCTGTATCTACACTACTTTTCTGTCAGACTATACAGTACTCATGTCGCCACAGCATCCAGGACTCAGTGTTGAAGAAAGTAAAAAAATAACAGTTCCTGGTTTGGGAGGCAAGGGGAGCTGGGTATTGTGTGACGGGAGAGCTGGGGAAACGAGTGGTGAGTAATCAAACGCGCACAACGTGCAGAAGAGCAGGAGACAGTATTCTGGTTGTAACATCAAGCAGCTATGGCAACATGCAGATGAAGGAACAGATAGCACATGCTACTAAACGGGTTGGTTTTTTGCTTCCTTCCTTTAACAAATTTTTGGCAGCTATACAAAGCGGCATGTATAGCAAGTATGTGCTTCACAAAGGCGCTTGCTTTTCTGTATCAAAAATCTCAGTCTTGCTATAAAATAATGAAAGACAATGCCATAAATCAAATACCTTAATGTCTAGATAAAAATCAAGACAGTGGTAGATACAAAAACCAAAGGGGAAAGCAGTAAACAACCCACTGAGGTGGTGGGAAGCTGTCTACCAGTTCTGCTTTGGTCTGACCCATTTCCAGTTCAAACTCACTATACCCTTACCAAAATTAATTTTAGCATAAACAATCAAAAGAGGTTTTAACCTAGCAGCCTGGCTTTAACCTAGCAGCCTGGTTCTAAAAGAAGAGCCTCACAGGTAGGGCATTTCAATGAAAAATCTTTAGTCAAATGTCTCATCTCTCCTGGACACTAGGTCCCAAGTTAGCAGACCCTCAGGCCCGCAGTTCTGTCCAGCTTCTTTCCAAGCACTTTGAGGCCACAGTCTAACAGACAATCAGTACTTTATTTGCTAACATCTGGGAAGTTTATGTTCTGAAAGTAAATAATAGTAAAAAACAGACACACCACACAGAACCAAGCAGGCCTCTGGGTAAATAAATTAGAATGCAGTTGTTCCACTCCTGCTCCCATCCATCTTGAAAAGGAGCATTATTGGAAATACACCAATCATCATCTACTAAACTATAATGTAAGCCAGTCCCAGTTTAACAGCATTTTTCTGAGAGAAAAAAAGTAAAAAGATTATTTCCTATCCCCTCTTGTGCAATTTTGCAACATGTCAAGCAGACAGCACATCCCAAGTTGCTGCCTTGCTTCCAAGGAGAACCATTCATCAGGACCATCAGGCCAACCTTAAAAATAAAGATGGATACACAGCCTTGATCCTTGAAGTCAGGCGACCCTTCAGAGCTCGTCAACAGAAGTCAAGTAAACAAACACAGGACAATGTGGCTGCAGCAATATATATGACTTTATGACATATGATGGCCAGTCCAGCCCACAAAGTTTTAACAGTGTTATAAAAACATCCTGATTATATTGTATTTGAAAGGTGCATGGACCTTTACTGATGCTGCATTACTGCTTGCCTGGCTCTTTCCTACTGCAAGCTGGAAGAGAAATAATTTACAGAAAGGGAAGACAGCTCTTTACAACAATTAGAGGTCTTCTGCACTGGCTGAGCAGTTTACTGTGGTCATTTCATCTTCCCAATTTTATTTATCTTAACATGACCTCCAGAAACACTTACTACCATTCTGTAACTGTAGTTACATGAAGTGTTGTTTGCCACATACACCTGCTCAGGACCAACCCAATTTTATATTCTCTTCCATCTAAGGAAGCTAAACAGGATCATCCCATACAGTACAGTACCAGAACAGTCTTGTTTGGTCAACAGCATACAACAAATTGAAAATACCAGTTTTCTAATGCAAGAGAAAAAAATGAAGTACTCAAAATATCACTGTCAGGAGTGTACTTTCAGATCCTGAAACCTCAAAACATGTGTTGATGGAGAGAGAGGTGGAACCCTTACTTCTTGATGCAATTGGTCATAAGAAGATGGACATCCTGTCTCTCATCCAGCAGCAACATGGCACCTAAATACCCAATGCGCTTGTCTGTGAATTTCTGAGAGGCAATGAGCTTGAGGCACTCCAACTGGAAAAAAAAAAGGAAAAAAAAAGAAGAAAAAAATAAGACAGAATTAGCTTAAACTACTTCTTAGCTAGAGGAGAAACAGTTTGAATTTTGATGTTTAGTCATCTAGATCTCTCAGAATGTATTTTTTTTAAAGTATATTTTATTCCCATTTTGGTGATGTGGAAAACAAAGAAAGGTTAAATGACCTGCCCAAAGCTCCCAGCAAGCCAGCAGGAAAATTATTAGCACCTCCTGCATCTTGAAGTAGCCAGACACCATCAGCCTCCCATGACCTCAGATACACCAGATACGTGGGTTTATGTCACAAAAGTAAAATATAACATTTATAGAGACAAGAGATCCATCATTAGAAACAAAATAGTAAAGATCTGGAAATCTAGATCATGTGTCATGTTTGAAACGCACTGGAAACTTCTGAACCAGGCTTAAAAGGGTCCATCTACCTACCACAACAGATGTGTGCTCTGTAAGTTAATTGTCAAAACCAGTTTTCATTTATTATGGTCTGTAACTAACTTGCTACCTAGGTAAGCCTTAGACACAGAGACAGCTAAGTTTTTGACCTGCTCTGTAATCTCTATTTGAACACCTCAAGTTTGACTATAATCATCAGCATTGTAGCCAGTACAAGCTTCCCTTTCACCATGCAGAAATGCCAACTGTGTTCAGTAGCATAAAGGAGATCCCTAAGATAACATGCACAGCTGCCCCTTGCATACAATGATTAAGAATTTAACTGATAACCCAGTTTTGAACTTGACACTTTCTTATTTCAAAAAAATACATCAACTGCAGAGATATTCTGAGATTACTATGCACTAAAATATTTCTCCCTTAACAGATAACTAATCAAGTATAATCAATATCTACTTTCCAGACAGGAAGTAGCAGAAATGGCTTCTCAAAACAGGTAAGAGACCTATCCCTCACAAACACATCCCTTAAGTCTGTTTTACAAATCAGCTGGGGCAGCAAGTAAGTATACACAAGAGGTTTGAGGAGGGGTCAGACAAAGCTTGCAACAGATCCATTTTAAAGAAAGTAAAGGGGTCATGCACAGGCAAAAATACGGGATGTCATGAAAAGTTTTTCATGGTCCCTAGCTACAGGGAAGCTTAAACAGGGCAACAGACACAGGTGAGATGCAAGAAGCACACACACACATCAGGAGGGTGAAGTTGTACAGGATACCGACAGGAAAAGGAAGGTTGTAGTGCTACGGCCTAGGCACTGCCAAGTTCTCACAACTGCATGGTGTCAGAACACTCTGCACGGAGCTGCCACATGTGAACACCCAGCTAGTGCAGGTAAGAAAAATCTTGAAAGAAAGTGAGTTCAGTTTGCTAGGTTTAAAGGGCTGAAAATCTAGAATAAAGAAACACCTCTGAACAGTAAGATCAGTCATCCACAAGGATAACTGAACTTGCACAAATGGGCAAGATCAACTAGGGATAAGGTACAGAACACTAGATAGCAACCTCTTATCTTCCCAGTGCTTTCTGTAAGAGAATAATGCACCTCTGAACCAACTTTATTCCCCAGGCTTATGAGATACTTTCTTATACAACCCTCTGTAAAAATGCAATGTAGAATTGATATCTAAGGTACAGTGTAAGAGCCAAGAAAGGCAGAAGGCAAACTAAGAAAAAGCAGAAGGAAACTAATGACTGCAACAGACAGTGTAAGATATATTTCTGGTACTTTTGAATTTGAAAGATATTATTGAAATTTATGCCGTGAAAGGCTGATGAGTTCTTGTTTCACTTGTATACAAATACATGCAAACCAGCTTCATGCACAGTAACGCTGAGAAACATGATCAGCTGAAGCTCTTACTAGGTCTAATTAGTGGAAGAAATCTTGATACCATCATATCCATTTCACTCAAAGGAACAATTAAAATCTGCTACATCAGTACTGTAACAGATACATCAGTAAAGCCAGATATGATACAGGCATAGAGCCAGGCTACAACTTACCCAAGTTTTTACTGACATAGTGACTCTTCCAACTGAAAGTAGAAATTTTTGCAAGTAGAAATAATGACAATAATAATAATAAAATTCTTTGCCCAGGCTGCCTGACGACTTCTAAACTTGCACAAATGGCCTTTGCACACACTCAAGAACCAGCTTGCCATCCAGTGCCTCTCAGCATGCACTGGCTAAATAGGGTGCTCATGCTGGGTCAAAGCTGAGGATCCCTGGCTTTGAAAGAAGTCGATCAACCATTCACTACTACTCAACTTTCTCTAAGTTCTCTTTCATTGTTGATTACCCCATGCACACTGTTAGCTGAAGTCAGATGTGTGCTTACATCTTACAGAGCAACCATCTCACAGCCTGTGGCCCTCTTCTGTTTTTCACCAAGATTTCCTGCATATTTACCCTATCACACTCAAACTTCCTGCCTACAATGCTGGACTGTCTATCTACAAGACTCCAGTGCTGGAACAACACATGTCTTCAACAGGTCCCCACCTCACACAGACTATGCTCTACCTACACAACATTAGCCCTTTGAAAGATTCCTTCCAGTTATAAGCATTAAGGACATACAAAGGTCTGCAACTTACTCACTTGGATAATACTTGTTAAAATCCCCTCTCAGCCTTGGGCCCTATGCCCTCTGAAAGTGCAGCTGATAAACCACATGACAACCAAAGCCATGGAATGAAGTACTCTGTTCCCAAGAGACTCAGCACAGATGCCTCTGAGACATAGCAACTCCAGCAATAACAGATATTGAATAATCTGTTTTATCCTTCTTCCACTGAGAATGAAGATGCAATTTACTGAAGATGCATTACTGATCAAAGCAGAAAATGAAATGGTCTAATCTTCCATATATGGGATTAAATACTTGAGTAACACGATAAAATAATCCAAATAAAATTTTAACATGTTCCTAAAATAAGCCAAATGTACAAATGCTAGATGACAGTCATCTGTAACACTTATTCTTCTTGCAGCTCTTAGATACTTAGCCTTAATTTTTGTGACAGGAAGTTTCTCGCTTGGACCAGGGAGCCTGGCTACATTAAGTGTTAAGAACAGGGTAATACATAAATTCACTTGCTCTTATGCAACAACTTGTTATCCTGAGAGAGGAATCCAGTGATGTAGAAGTAAGATAATGCACTTTATATACAGTAACACAGCCCAGACTCACTCCCTAACACTAAGACTATTTGGAATTTTATTTCAGTGGTTTGAGTTTACTGTTTTAGTGAGATATGTCAAGACTGGTAAATCCAATCATGAATGGACAGACTCCCAAGACATGAAGCTACTTTAAGGGATCCAACAATTTGACTGACTTTTTATTTAGCTTTATGGAAATATTTAATTATTTTTTTTTATAACTACTAACAAGACACTTACTGACTTCTAAGCAAAACAGACTATGCCCCAAAGACTAAGCAAAGCTCAACGTGAAAAACATCTTGTAGATCAAGAAATCCCATCTTCCCGTCTCCCTTTTCCACAATCTACCTGCATCAAAAATAAGCCAAGAGACAGAAAACTTGTACCAGCATTCTCCAAGTCACTTCACTAAGATGGAGATAAGGAGCATGTATTTCTTATTGCTGGGAACAGACCAACTCTTATGTGCCTAGAATAGATTGCTTTAGAAGGAAAAGGGTATAGAGCCTCCTTTGAAGCATCTGGTACTTCCCATCAGAGACAGAACTCCAATGTGCTGTTTTGAGCCCATGTAGAAATAGCCTTATGTACTGGACTGTGGTGTGAGAACTACTGCTCTGCAGAAACCTGGGTAGCAAGGAGCAGAGAGTCTGGCAAAAGCAGACCAACCCTAAATTTCATAACAAAATAGGTAAGTCTCCAAACAGCAGATCTCACTAACAAAGTCAAGACTAACTAATGTAGGTTGAGAACATATGTGAAGACGTACCTCCAAAGGTCCCAAAGAGCAGACAGCAGAAGTGCAGCTAGGAATGCTCCCAATAGGCCAGTGTGCCCGGAAGACAGAGCAGACTGACATATGCACATAGCACAGCAAGTACCCAACTCTGACCTACCTGTCCAAAATGTGCAGGGTATCCCAGCATGTGCATATACAGCAGCTTTGCCACGTTTCTGCATCGGTACGTGTTATCTTCCTCTCGGAAGGATGACCGGATAGCAGCACATTCCTTTTGGATCATCTCACGCTCTTCTGCCTGAGTTCTTGCTGTCCGGATGGTCCGGATCAACTCCCGCAGTCTGATGGGGGCTGGCATCCTCTGGGAGAAAAAGAGAGCTGTAAACCTTGTGCTGGACCCAAAGGCTTCATAATGATCTCATACTTGCGCTTTTTTTTTTTTCCTTCCTTTCTTACCCTACAGTTACGTAAGTACAATTAAAAAAAAAGCAGACTCCTTCAGTAGCATGGTTAAAAGCAAACTTGAACACCAGAGGAATTAATTGTGCCTCACATTTGCTTTTCCAGAACATTAGAAACAGAAACTGCTATGCTTTGAGTTAGCTGTCAGGTGAACATAACGTGACTCCCCACCTGAAACGGGCAGAAATGGCACTCTGCAGGTATGCTTTCATATTCACTTCATCTGCCTCTCCCAAGAAAAGCTCCAAAGAGATTTGATCCCAAAATCATGGCAACTCAGACAGAAACTCTTTACAAAAAGCAACACTGTTTAATAACTTGCACAAGATTTTATACTAGGCTTTTCAGATAACCATGCTTCAAAAATCCTGCAAATTTATGTCATACATGCTTCCTTAGAGGTGTGGAAGTCAGCAGAAAAAGCACATGGAAGAGCAATCCTAGCTGGGTGGATATTTCAGAGAATCTTCTTTTAAAAAATAAATCAAGCTGACCTCATCCTTTTATTACACCCCAAACAGAATAATCCTTTCTCAAACAAGCCTGTCACATTACGGTCTGGTGGCGCTCGTATGAAAAGAGTGTGCAAGAGAGGTGTATCCTACACGTACTCCAAGTAGTTTCACTTCACCAGACAGAATACTGATGGAGACATCTGACCTAGGGAGCAATTTAGTCTTCTGAATATCCCTCAAGAGGTAAAAGGCTCTCAAACAAAAGCCAAACTTTAGAATGATGTTTAACAGTTGAATTTTTACGTTCATGCTCACCAAAACTGACTTTTGATTTTCTAGGAGATCAGTCTGTGCAAGCATCTCCACAGTCATCTTTCATCCACGCTAGACTGCGAATATAACTGAGCCATTCTGTTAACAGATAATGTCACATCAACTTGTGAAAAGTTGCCATGGCAGTCTGCTACAGATTTCGTCTGGGTCTCTGTCCTCCCAGAATGGTGTGTCATCATTTTAAGCCCTGTCATATCAGGAAAAGATGTGCATCCTGATGCTGCACTAACTGGCTTGCATGACACCACAGAACTGACAGGCTGGGCAGTGTACAGAGTGAGCAGGGCACTAGTCCGCTGCAGAAAAGCGGAGCTGCACGTACAGCGAGCAAAGCTGGCCTCACAGTAAGAGAGCTGAATGCAGCTCTGTAGGTCTGGATTACAGATCTGGTCTTCTACAGGATTCACACATAACACCAAGTCCCTTCAGTCAAACCATGCAGACCGCTCATATTCCAGTTCCCCATCTTCATACCTATAACACTTGGATTTACAGAGACACAGAGCATTCAATTTTGAAAACGGAAGAGAAGACGTTCCTCCTGCATTAAGAAATTCTGCCCCAAAATGCTGACATGTGTAGGATCAAGATTATTAGACACGTTCATCCTTCATCTTGCCTCACCCCTCCGTGTGAATTTATAACACTTTCTCACATTACTGTGATATGAATAAATTAATGTTTCCTGTGTATCCAGACGCCGCACTAACAAGGATCACAGAAATGGTCAAGGGGAAGTAAGAAATCCGTCTCCAGAGCAGTATCTGAATGTGCAATAAATCAGGCTTTTGAATGTGCCATTCATGTTCTTTTAATGTAGCCTGTGATGTTCCTACACTGAAAAGATCTTCCCCACAACAGCATCATATCTACAGGCACACAGGGAAGGCTTTAGTTACACGGAGTCTTTAAACCTGTAACACAGACCAGCACAAACAACAGCAGCAGAACGGTGATCTTTCAGTAGCAAGTTAAGACGGCAGGATCACAACAGAGGGTGAAAACCCTGCAGAGCACTAGGAGTAGTACATCGAGATGCACCGTCTGTACAGTCTCTGGAGATTTCAGATGTTGAAGGGCAAGTCTCAAAGGATCCCACACAAATCACTTTTGGAAATTGGAAGACTATTTTCACCAGTACGACAAAATACACATCCTCAAAATAAAAGGACAACTCCCCAGCACTCATACACTAAGTCAGCCAGAAGCATCAAGGTTTCAAAGCTTTGCAAATAAAAGGTCATTTAATTCTATGTATTTCCTGCCGCATTCCTCCTATCTACACAGAATAAAATACTTTCCTACCCTAAGAGAACAAAACACTTTTCTAAAATCCTGCAAAAAGCCTCTGATAAATAGCTTGCTTGGGAAATTTCAGAATGAGCAAGTTAAAAAACTATTTAAAAAAGGGGAAAAACAACTAAAACCATAGATTTAAATGGCATGTAAAATTAAGGTAACAGGTTAAGAGTTAATTATTGCAAGCTAGAATTCCAATATAACACGTACTAGCTGTTTCCTAGCTGTTGTTTGGTTGTATTGCTTTACTCTGTGATAATTTATTCTTACTGAAAAGGGAAAACCACACTAACTGTGTGCTGTTACCGGAGACTCATTAACTTGCTGCTAATTACACACTACTACATATCCCAAAAACTTGTTTGCATAGGCCTATCCTTAGACCCCTCCTTCAGAGCTGAAACTGGATAAAACCTAAGGCACAAGACTTGTCTGCAGTAAGGCAGGATACAACCTTCTCCCAAATTCTATAAATCCTTATAACAACATCTGCTTAAGTTCATGTTTCTATCCTGAATCTGTCACATTGGAAGTGGTCTTGATCTCCTATAAAAGCTATTCTTCATTCATTCAATTTAATCCCTCATTTCCATAGTAGTCTTCAACTTAACCTAGTAATTTAGATGAAAATACGATCTACCAACCCTTCACTGTCCTAAATGAGCAGCCAAAGGCAGAAAGCAGAGCAGAAATGGCCATACCCTCTCTGATTAAAGCTCCACCCCGTTCAGAACCCGCTGACAGATGCCTAGAGAAGAGTGTAAGAACAGAACAAACACGTAGCAATACTTCCTCGGGATTTGTTTGCAGTCTTCAAGAATTTGTAGCCCAAGAACTTTTCCACAGCCAGAAATAAAAACCACTCTGGTTTTATTTGGACCCCAGGTAAACTTCTAAAATCAACAACATTCTGCAGGACACATTCCAGAGCTTCGCAGCACAACACACGGAGACCCAGCTACTGCTTTTGTTCTGCATTTACAACTGCTTCCGCCCACTGGTACTCCCAATTATTCGACACTCTTCCACTGTTATCTCTCCCTCATCCTCCCCAGTCTGAAAAATGCAGCCTCACACTGAAGCCCTTCCACAGCTGATTACCTTTGTTGCCTTGCCTGCACATTTTACAACTCTCCCACGTCCTTTCTGAAGGGGGAGAGAAGCAAAACGCTGCAACGCAGCATCTAAGAGGTAGATGTGCCATTGATTTATTTATAAAACGTCTTGTGTTTTGCTCCCTATGATTTTCCTCCCTATTATTTTCCCAGTAATTGTAACACTCAGTTCAGAGTTCTGAATGCCACAAGGTGCTCAGCTTGTGTTTTTCACATAACAGTATCATAAACCTCAAAATCTCTTTCCTGGGTGGAAAGAGTCTGCTTAAAGTCCTTAATTTTTAACCCGGACTCATCTACTGCACACACATATCACATGGTTCTAAATTGATTTTGATAAGACATGCTCTTGATGGAAAACTGAGAAGTTAAAAAAAATTCCTAGAATAGTTTGGGTTGGAAGGGACCTTAAAGCCCATGCAGTGCCACCCCCTGCCCTGGGCACAGCCACCTTCCACCAGCCCAGGTTGCCCAAAGCCCCGTCCAACCTGGCCTTGAACCCTGCCAGGGAGGGGGCAGCCACAGCTTCTCTGGGCAGCCTGTGCCAGGGCCTCACCCCCCTCACTGGGTATTTCCTCCTTACATCTAATCTTTATCTCCCCTCTGTCAGTTTAACCCCGTTACCCCTCATCTTATCCCTCCCCCATGATGACAAGTCCCTCCCCCCCTTCCTGCAGCCCCTTTCAGCCCTGGGGGGCCGCTCTAAGGTCTCCTCAGAGCCTTCTCTTCTCCTGCTGAACCCCCCAACTCTCTCAGCCTGTCCTCATAGGGGGGCTCCAGCCCCCCCCAGCATCTCCATGGCCTCCTCTGGCCCCACTCGAGCAGGTCCGTGTCCTTCTGCTGTTGGTGCCCCCAGAGCTGGACCCAGCCCTGCAGGGGGGTCTCCCAGAGGAGGAGAATCCCCCCCCCCCAGACCTGCTGCCCACCCTGCTCTGGGTGCAGCCCAGCACACAGGTGGCACTACTGCAGGAATATTCCTCTGCAATCTATTAGCAATCATTTCATAATTACTGCGATCACCCATGTGCAGGCTCATGGTGGAAGAGGTGCTCCAGTCCTTCTGTCGTGCTGACACCGGCATTCCCAGGGCAGGGTACCACATGAGGCAACCTGTACCTCTGAAAACCAGCTAGCTGCTTTCCTCACAGGAGGCGTTCTCTTCAGACACATCAGTCTGGCTTGTGCAGACACAAAGGCGGCAGCAAGGACACACAGCTCTGGGACACCTGAGATGGGAGTGGGAAAGAGGTGAAGTGTTCCCTCCAGCACAAACCACACTTACACCATGGCTCTGCACCCTTGTTAAGCTGATCTAAAGCTTCACTGTTCCTGAGAAAACAGGTAGTGGCTATCACAAGATGAAACCATGACAGACTTTTTTATTTTTAAGAAATATTTATTTGGAAACTTTCTGAAACACCTATACATAGTCCACAAACAAACTGAAGTTTGGCAGCAGCTTGCTTTGATATCACAAGCCCTTTTGCTCCCACTCTATATTCAAAGGGTTTATAAACCACTGAACTCTGACACCTTCACAGCCTGTGACCTGCACAATCGCATGGGACCAAAACATTCTGCAGGTATGCCCACAGAGGGCTTCAGCACATTATATTTAGCCCTGGACATCAGAAAGTAAAAGGACAGATTGCCTAAATAGTTTTAGTCAGTGGGAAACCAGCACTGAACAATGTCCC